TTGCGAACGCTGCCGTCGATAATGAGACACGGAATATCGTCATCGGCCAATTAAACCCGCCGCGAGGTGTAGCCGATAGAAATTGCTCGGTCAATGTCATGACCGCTGTTCCGCCGCAAAATTCGACGCTGCAGACTCTGCTAAACGGTCAAATGGAGTAGTTGATTAATTTTACATAGATTAGCGAGCGAGCGTGGCCGTCCTGGTTTTTCGGAACACCGTTGTATACACGCGACCTCGGCCGCGCAGGATTTCATCGATCTTGCTGGATTTTTTCCCGAAATCGACACGGTTCCACTCGAAATCGCGGAGAAACTCGTTGCTTCCGCGATTCGTTGCCGTTCACAGCTAGCGTGGAGATTAAAGGGAAAAAGCGAGGGAAAAGTATTCGAGGAATTACTCGGTGCGATGAGCGAAATGGAGACGAATTCGGTGGGAAAAATCGGGGTGTATCTTGGAAGGAGCTAGCGAAAATTCGGCCTCAACTCGGGGAATGAATAAAGGGCACGTTGGTACACTGCAATTCGAGGTTACGTCGGGAGGAAGTGGTGCATTAATTTCGAGTTACCCCTCGAATTTCCTTCAACCCCCGTACGTGTGAGCGACTACGACGCGGGCACTGGGCTTGCGAGTAGCAGTTACCCCGAGGTGTTCGGGACGGCTGGTAATTTGTAGGTAGATATACGATAGACAATAACACCGGTGAGGGGCGGCAGCGCCGACTAATTTGTTTATCATAACTTTATCTTGATTTATTGCGCTCACGGTGCGCGGCCGTTTCGTAACGCCAATCGCGCACGTTCGTGCGCGCCCTTCGACGTATTCACACGTGCGCGAATGAAAAAAATGGAATCGCCGGAAAAATGGTCGAGCGATCGCGTTCTTGGCCGATTCCATCGCTCTCTCTCTCTCTCTCTCTCTCTCTCTCTCTCTCTTTCTCCCTCTGTCTCCCTCTGGTAAATAGGGAATGCGCGTTCACCGGACGTTCGGAATTCTATCCTCTTTATTCGACGGCTTGGCAATCGGACGAGTTGTTACCCCCGTCGCGTGGTTATCAAAATCGTTCCGTTGCCCGATTCCGAACCCTCGCATCCGACTGGACAAAACTGTCGGCATTCACGAGTACCCGCGGTAATTATAGATTCCGCGATTGTTTCATCGCGCGTAAATTAGCCGGTGGAAAAATGCAGTCACGCTAGCCGGGCTGGCCAGCAAGAAGAAAGCAACGCGACGAGATAAAAAGCCGCGAGCTCGGTGTCGGCTGGCGCACGGATCGAGGAGCTAATTTTTTAAAGAGCACAGCGAAAAGGGGGTGCGAACAGGCGGAGCAACCCCCGGCCACGCTCTATCCCTTCCTCGCCACCCTCTGCCTCTATCTTTCTCCGTTGCAGCTCGATCGGCGTGCACGCGAGCCTCTGGAAGAGCTTCGTGGCCGGCTCGTATTTCTCGCCCTCCAACAAGATACCAACCACCTTTAGCCCCATCCTCGACCTCGCGGCCACACGTACCGCTCGCACGTACACGCGCGCACACGCGCGCACGCTGTTCCAGAGGGTAGATAACGTCTTGCACGTACACGCGTACGCGTATTCTCGGTGCGAGTGACTAACGTGTGGCAACCGCACACGTACACGTATCTCGAAAGGCAGATACCGTCGTACGTGTTCACGCACGGTGTCCAACACAGAGGGAGGATACCAAGACACGAAAGGGTGTGCTGGTATAACCGACATCCACCCGCCACGGTGCAAGCCCTGTAACGCTGCGAGTGCTATCTGGCCAACTATCGCTGATTCTTGGCGCGAGACGGGCCCACGGGGGGAGGAGGAAGGAAAACAGGCGGAAGGGGTGGTCTCCGGCTCGTGGATCGTTTAAAACAGAGCCTGCCACGGGAACCTTTGGCGCATCCGTGAAATATTCCATCGAGAAGCTTCGTTCTTGGACCGGCGTTAATCGCCGTCCCATCGAGCAGCAGATCGATTCTTCGATTCGCTGCTACGACCAACCGATTCACCGATCACTGTCGGTTAAACGAGAAAGCCGAGAAACGAGGGGGATGGGATCCGTTGAGGGCGAACGACGAGGATGGCCTGCACGAAACGAAGCGTCAGCGAGCGGAAAGTTTAACAACGAATGGAAAGTGCCGTGACAAGTGGCAGGAAATTTGGAACCATTCGACCCCTGTTCGGATACTTGGAATACTTTGGTTTACTCGCGTGATCTCGCCCCGAGTTTCGGTGTTTCGCCGGTGCCCCTTGGGATCCGCGATGGAAGGTATTTTAACGAGCGCGCGACGGATTTTAAGCTTACGGAGCCAAGTTTCTTCGCTTCCGTCACGCGTGACGACTCGATGAAAAATTTCTCGTCCACGGTGTCGAGAAGGGGTCGAGAAGGGGTCGAGAAGGGGTCGAGAAGGGGTCGAGAAGGGGTCGAGAAGGTTCGGTGAGATACACCGAGACGGCGTTGGTACACGAGGAAGATGATCGAGATATTTGTAACGTGGAGTAAAAGGCAAAGAATGTCGAAGAGTACAACGGAAGCCGGAGCTTAGCGTCCGGTAAGACCCAAGACTCTACACGGGGCCTCCTCAAATATTAGCGGAGGACCGCGGGGTCCCCTTTGAACTCGAATCCCCCGAAATTTCTATGGCGAATAATCGGAGACAGCTGGCACGATGCGAAATCAAGTAGCGTAATAATGCCCCGAGAACTCCAGCATCCGTAGCGGGGAAAATAAAATGAAAAAGAGGACAGCGAATGCACGCGCTCCCTTGGATTCGAGTGTCTCCCCGGTTTTACCTCGGTTTCTTTTTATTTCAAATATTTACGAAGCGAGAATATCTGCCTCGACTTATTTCGCTTGTTCTCTCTCTCCCTCGCTCCCTCTCTTTCGTCGAACATGAATTTTCATCGGTTAAAAAGCCCGACCGAGATAAGGGACGTTTGGAAGCGGTCAATTAGAAGAGCGATATACCTGTGCCGATGTACGCGCGATATCTTATTGTTTATAGTCGCCATGAAAGCCAAACGGCTTCCCCTGGCCGCTAATCTTTCATTGCCGGTTAATTAACGGCACACATCGTCGTAGCGACGGGAAATTTTGCAGGTAGCTTCGTTTATCTCTCTGTCAGTAAAACGGGGCGACATTTAACGCGGGACACTTAAAACGGAGCGTGCATAAACGGGAGCTGGATGGACTAATCAAGCGATATCTCTGTATTCGCGCGGATACGTGGCCACATCTCAGCGGTCTGATCGGTAATTACCGTCGCTGTATAGCCACGTTTCAGCCGTAGTCTCTCGCGAATAAATGACACGCGTCGGCCAGAGTGATAGGTATGCTAATCGCGTGGCCCGCTGTAAAATTTGCTCGTCAGCTGCCCCCGTTACGATCGGCAACAAATTCGACGTAACGAAAGTTCCCTCCGACACGGTCTCGACCCAAAGTCCCCGCTCTATCCTCGCCGAGGAACGTTTCTCCATCCGGCGAATCGATCCGACCACGCGATAATTCGGACTAAGGAGAAAAATAATCAATTCTGGGCGCGTGACGCGAGAAAAAGACACGGTCTGCCTTCCCTCCGCTGAAAGAAAACACGGAGAAAAGTCGCGGAGGAAGAAAAAGTGACGGAACCGGCCTGGTATCGGGCAGTTTATCCCGCGGGAGGAGCTGCGATACAATGAATAAAGAACGAAGCAGCTTGGTAGAGCGAGCCCCGTGAACGAGGCCTTATTGGGATATTAATCGTCGTACCAGGCGAACGCCCTGTCCCCGAGTGTTTGCACGAGGTTTGAAGAGGCTGCAACACCAAAGCTGCCTTGCAGCGAAACCCTCTCCGTAAAACCCCCTCCTTTTAAGCGCAACGAAACACTACAAGACCCCTTCTCCGAGCCCCTCCACGGTGTTCCTCTTTTCGAGCCGTGATACTCGAAAAGCCCAAGTACTACCACGCTCGAATACTGCTCGGATACTTCGGACACACTCGAACCCCGAGCCACTTAGGTAAGCTTGCGTACACGTTAGAGGTAGGTAGGTAGGTAGGTAGGTAAGTTGGTAGGCTTGATAGGCGCGTTGCACGAATGCTTCGAAATAATGGGCCGTCGATTGGCCGCGCTTGTTTAGAAAACATAAACCGGGCGAGCTAATTGTTCGCTAATTTCCAGTGCCACTTGTACGGCCGTTCGCCGATTAATGCGTGTGCCCTACGCACACGGGCTGTTTCCTTTCTTCGACAGCGCGTCGCCAACGTATCGCCGACGTATCCAAAACCTATCGCCAACGTATCGCCATCGTATCGCCATCGTATCGCCATCGTATCGCCAACGTATCGCCAACGTTCCAGGGTGAAAAAGCCTTTTGCATATGTCGTTTTCTCACATCGACGATACGTGTTACCGTGCGATACGCGGTACAGAGCGTTTCGAAAATGGCCTTTGATCTTCGCCGAATCTCCAGCTCCGACGCTTATCCCGGCTGGGAATCGGAATTGAACGAGAGCGACGGCGCTGGACGCACGGTTTCGCGTCTTGGATTTTCGTGGGATTTTTTCCGGAATTTCGTCGAGTTTCGTCCAGTTTCGTGACTCACGATACGTCGACTAATTTTTCGTTCGAACGACGTGCGCGTGTCTCCAAGGGAGAGATTCTTCCGTAACGGGGTACGTAGGTGCCGCATCGCGCTGGCCTGGGAAGGCATTCGAACGCGACGGGCGTTTTAATCCATTTAGTTACCAGACTGGAGAGAAGAGGTTCCTCCGTTTCATCCACTTACGAAATCTGGCTAATTGCGCTAAATCATTCGCCTCGTAATCCTCTTTCGATTATCAAATTGCCTACTCTCTGACGTGGTATGGATGCGCAATCTACGTGCCACTGACTCTCTACGTTTCGCGACTACAGTTACGAGCGATACCCAAGTACTGCTTCAAGAGAATTGACTTCACGATTATTCCTCTACGAGATTTATCGGTTCTGGTAGACAAGGAGAATTCGAGTACTTACAGAAAGCGTGAGAATTCAGCTGGTTGCTCGTTCGAGATCAGTTCCGTGATCTGAACACGTTCCGGGCCTCCGATAATCCTGAACACTTTCACCAAGCCCAGACCTAGGCAGGACTCGAAAACGCTGGTTTCGAACTACCCTGGCGGAGTTGCGGCATCAGCTTTTCGATTCTACTTGATCTTGCAGTTCGTTCGTCTAACGTGACATCGTAGTACCAGAAACAATTTCCTTTGGGTCACCAGTTCGAAGAGGAATCGATGCTCATGATGATACGCGACGGTCTTTGACAGGTCGGTATCTACTAGCGGAAAGTCTCTCGGATTGGCCGTCGACATTATCGAAAGCACACGTTCGGCCCTATCGCTTCGATTCTCGACTGTGCGCCATTGTCGCAGGGACGCTCGACACTGAACCTTTTAGCAGATTGCTACTTCCCGTTCCTCTGTCGGATTCGCGGTCATCTCGTCGACGAGTACGACTTCTCCGAACGATAGTCTTCGATAGGATACGCGCAGATGCTTCGTTCAAAGATGCTGCTCGAACTCTCTCATGCCGAGAAGCGAGATTCTCCGGATAGACGAGGTCTCAGTGTACCCGAGACCCGAAATCGTCAGCCATTCCGCTCAAACGTCGAATCCATTCGATTTCACCGTCGGAAACGTTCCGCCCAAAAGTCGAACACTGTCTTCTATAACATCAGCATCCTGCCAAAGCCTTGTCCCGATGAAACAACACTGTCGATTGCGCACAGACGAAAGAATTCGCGTGTTCAACGGCCGGATGTCGCTCTCACCATCCGAGCCGTAACCTCGCAATGAACCGGGCACACGAGAGATCACTTGAGGCTCCTCGGTTCTCTAACAGAAATTTTCCTCGCGATCCCGTGGTAACGTTGATCCCTGATTCCCTGGCAGATGATCGACGGAGATCACGAACGATCCGTTGGCCGTTGGAGGCGCCGAGTTTGCCGCTGCTGACGTGTGTGCGGTGGCTGCTGGCGAAACCCAACGAAGGTTTCAGCTGCAGACAGAAGGGTGAAGGGAGGTCACGAGTCGAAGGTAGCAGCAACCACCAATGGGGCGGTACCAGGGGCGGAGCAAAGAGCAACCTAAAAACACGCCCATCTCGTTGCACGATCATAGGCTGCAACACCCCAAGGAATGCTCCATCCCTGTCCCACTCTGTCCCCTGCTATCGTTCGTCTTTTCCTCCACGGCTACAGCCGGGCCACCTTTTTCTCCCCCACATTTTTTCCTGTTTTTTTCTCATTCAATTGGGACGAAGGCGACACGAAGCGCGGCGACGTTAAAAGTGCAGGCGAACGACGACGAAGCTTCCTTGCTCGAGTTCGACACTTTTCATCGATCCCTCTATCTCTCTCTCTCCCTCTTTCTCTCTCTCTCTCTCTCACTCTCTCTCTCTCTCTTTTGCTCTTGGTCAGCCTTGCCGGGATTACGATCCGCGATTCCATCGCTCCGTGGCTTTTCGAGGGACGAGGAACCGTGCTTCGAAATAGGATTCCTCGGTGTTAACTCGGTCTGATTAGATGTCCGTGACTCGACATCCACGACGAAAACGATCCCGCCATTCGTTCCGATCTTGCACGTCGATGATATTACCTTAAACTCGACTTTCTCCGATTCGCTGGATTCTATCTCAACGTTTACGGGGTAAACCGGAAGGGTAAGTTGCCCCGTGAAGTGGCAGCATCGCGGAGCATTAACGATCAAGGGAGTGGTACGCGTGCTTATTAAAAAAATATTTGCTTAGAAATATCCGGCGAAAGGTGAAAGCTGGCGGTGAAATGCATTGAAAAGATTCCCGTGACGGTGCGCGAAGGGTGAGTTGCATCGAGCCGCCACGCCGGCGGGGGTTAGACGAGAAAGGAGATAGAGACGAGGAGAGAGCTGGGATCGTGGGGTCGACGAATGAGCCAGCGAATGAATACCGAGTATGGATTCGTGAGGAGCCAATAGGGGTGCACGATGTCCTCCCTCGTTCGAGGAAGCCACGCCAATCGTGGGCGTCCGTCACCCTCTGGGCTTTTCCCGAGGGGTGGCGATGGTAGAGACGCATAGCTGGCTTCGAGGACTCTACCTGGCTGGCTGATAAAGACAGACAAACCTCTGTCTTCCGTGGCGGATCATGCCAGCTTTGCTAGGCAGACGACCTCGTAGCAACCACACCTCCACCTTTGCATCCACTTTCATTCACTTACAACCACTTTCTACTGACGCCAATGCTCTGACGCCTTTTCTTAGATTACGCGCCTGTTTCCTACCCTCTTCCGCGTCTACTGTGATTAACGGATTATGGAACTCGTCGGCTTGCTGGCACAGAGAGTGGTGGAGAACGGGTAGCACGGATGGAAAACGCGAGTACGTTTTTCCTCAGTTTTTAAACGGTGGCCAAAGAATGCGGGAACTCGATTATCCGATCGACGATTCGGTTGGATATTCGGACGTTTGCCTCGAGCATTCGGGTACGATACTTAGGGGGGAAAGACTCGTGGAGGAGGTTCGTTCGTCGCGTTAAGGACCGGCACGGTATTAACTCCTAGGAAGGGATCGTAGGGACACGCGTTATTTACAAATCTTAGGTTGAACGAGCTTTCAGCCTCGGCTGAAGTGCGAGGGACATAAAGCTTAATTCATTGTTTGCTTGGCGACGAGTTTGGCGCTGGCACACGTGGCGTGTCATGCGACAAACGTGCCCGATGCAGTGTCATACGCGAGCACTCGAAAGACAAAGGGAAAATTTATATTCCGATATCGACAGCGCAGTTTTCCATTCGCGTTGACGCGTCCGTCGATGATGCGGGATAAAAATTCGCGGAAGGAAGCGAAATTTCGACAAGTAACCGTTTGTCACCGCTTCCTGGAGCGATCAATTTCAATTTCTCGTCCGCATTGTATACTTTTATTGCTCGCCAGCCACGTTCATGCACGTCCCGCCTATATTTGCGTCTCGGTCGAATGAAGCAGCCAGTAGTGTCGGCGAGTAATCTCGTTTCCGCTTGGTCCACGAAGTTAAACTCCGTGCATTCGAGCAGACTAGCCGTGTCCTCGTGTCCACATCTCGTTTCGTTTCCCTTCGCCGTCCTCTTTCCAGGGAATCGTCCGCGGTAACTTCGAGGGGGAGTTACCCCGGACAATATATCAGTTTACAATGATAAAAAGCAAACACGGGAAATAACGCGAGGAATTACTGAACCAAACAATATGTCCCTCGTCTCTGGAGAGACCGCGTATATTTCGACCGAGCAGCTCGGCAGCATCCGACGGAGGGTGTGTGCCAACACATTTTCCTTACAATGCGTCACGATTTCGTTTTATTTCGTGCCGGGGCGATACAGCCGGAGGGACATCGGGAATACGCTCGTTATCACCCGTCCAAGGGGTTGGTCTTCCGAGTCGGCTCGATTGCCGGTTTCTTTCGTCCGAAACGGACGAAATCGACGTGACGTGTCCGGTCTACTAATCGGATTAATCGTATCCCGAACAAACGGAACATTCGATTTCGTCGGTGAAAGGTATTCGTCGTTTTGAAAAGCAAGAGGCCATAGCGTTATCTCCAGGGATAGAGGAACAGGGAGGATGACTAAAAATTGGTACCCTCTTGCTCGCGGGTGCCTCTTGGTGGGTAGTACTCGTGTAAGCAGTGACTAGTGAGGTAAACTCGAGTGTCTGAGGGGGAAAGGGGATATGGAGGGCCGAGGGGTGAGGAGTGGTCGTCGCTAGTGGGTGTAAGGAATGGAGGGATAGTAGCGAACCGGGCTATGTTGCCTACGGGGTTGGAGGAGGGATGGTTTTTCCTCGGTCTGAGCATTCCGTGGACGATATGCTGGTAGCTTGGCTCGCTTCGTCTTGGTTCGCATGCGGCTTGTACGCCTTCCCTATACACCTACGGTCTCGTCTTCGCTCTCTTTCGCTCCTCCCTCTGGCTCCCTTTTCTTCCCATCGCCTTCTTTCTTCCTTTCTCTCCGTCTATCCACGCGGCGTACACGCGGGCCACCGGCAAGAAGTAGACAATTCACAATTAGCAAACACAAACAGAAGTACGAGTGGCTTCAAGTTGCTTGGGACGCGGTGGCAACGGGCTTAGCCGGAAGCAAACGGTGGGGTAGGGACTTCTGGGATGCGAAGCGACTAGCTTGGCAGTCCCTGAGCGTCAGCCTCTGCTCCAGAATACTCTTCTCAACTCCCGGCCCAACAGAGACCGGCGAAGGCGCATGTATGTTCTGGAGATAACGGGTGTACGCTCCGATGTATCTCCTTTTCTAAGATTTACAGCGTGTCTGTCGAACTCGACTGGAACTCGACAATGTCGATCCAAGATTTACCACCGTATTCATCCTATTTCCCATTCGCGAAAAGATCATCGATGCCGAGATTCTTCGGTGCTTCTTCTCGTGCCAAACGACGTTCGATCGAACGACGATGCTCAACCGTGAATACGAGGGTACGTTTCCGAGAATACAATTTTTCTACTTGCGTAGCTCGCGATGTCGAGCAACGTCGCGACGGCGTCTCGGAACAGTGCTTCCGCCGATTAATCGGTCGTAGGATTTTCTGGTGCCGACTGGTCGTACACCCGGTATATACGCGCATCGGGCTCTCACCGTTGCGTTGGAACACTTGAAGCCCCAACCAGTTACGGCAACAATAGGCTTTGTCTTCGCGCCGTCGGCGCTCGCAAATTGGTAGAAATCTTGATTAAAGGTGCAATTCCGCTGCTGCCTACGGACAAATATGAATTGCACCCCCAATGCTCCCCGCCCCATCCCCCCGCCCCTTTTTACCGTTCCGACAAATGAAAATGGAAAAAACGTGTTGTGCTATACTTCTTACGGCGCGACAAGTCTGCGGCTTTCCAAGGATCAAGATTGGACTACCCCTTTGAAATCAGACACTGCCACATTAAGGATATTGTTGCCGGTTAAGAGGAACGGTGATCGTTTTCTCTCTGTACCATCAGTTCGTCTATTTCCTCGTTACCTCGTTTCACCCGTATTAAGAAAGATGTATTTATCGGGCCAACCTATCCGTCCGCGCACGGTGATTCGATTTCGTTCATGGTTCCACGAGATAATCCGATTGCGAGATTACACGGCGATTCGGATCGATAGAGCATGATCCTGGCAATGGGAAAGGGAGAAACAGCAAGACACGTATAGAAATGGGATAATAACGCGTTGTATATGACAGATGCGACAGGACCACTTGCGATAATCCGCCTTGGGCTTATCCCTTTGCAGTAAACCCTAAAATAGACCGTATCGTACGCGTGTCCCATCCGGAATTGCTCATTAACATTTGCACGAGTTAATTTATCTCGTAGGTAACCACCTTAACATTCGTTCTCGATGCTCAGATTTTGCCAATATCTCGCATGCCTGAATTCGTTTGCACGCCATATTTTTTTTCTTTTTTTCTCCCTATCGAAATTCGAAAATGGAGAGATCTCGACTTTATCCAATTGGAATCCCCTGCACACGCATCGACAGACCCTGAAGGCTTCGACGTGTTCATGCTCATCCTATGCAGAACACACATCACAAAACTGAGTCAATTTACATAACGATAATTGAGACGTACATGAAAGGCCGTTCCCGAGTCACGGCAATACCATCTGCAAACGGGCTTTGAATTTCGAAAAGCGTATCGATATTCCCCGCAATCATGTATCGACCCACAGCTCAAATTACGAAACAGAATTTGTGTTTTAAAAACGATTTCACTGGATACGTCTCCCGGTTTAATTTACGTGTATCGCGAGCGATGGAGTGTTCGGAAAATTCTGATAAAATGAGACGGAATATAGAATCAGTGGGAAAAAGGTCAGGATAATCGTGGTTTCAATTGTTTTCAAACATTTGTTAAATTCGTTTCTTGGGAAGCTAAAATTTGTGACAAGCGTGAAGCAGCGCGATCTATAATAAAGAGCATCAAACGTTATTAAAGTTGTACGTACTTATCAACTGCTGATACATCGGAAGATAAAACAGATTTCTAACATTAGAAATAGTAAATAATAAATATAATAAGGATCATTCTTTTATACGCATGAAACAAAATATTTTTTTATTTATCATAAGAGCAATTAACACTTGAATACCTCGAATTTAATGTATTTAATAATTGATAAAGAAATATTTATTGCACTTGTAGAAATAGATCTCTTTGCATTAGTTCTGTCTAAATCTGGTATAATTGAATAATTGAAAACCAAATTTTATATCCACGTATGAAAACTGTTGTATTATATAAACATATGTTATTGAGTTTTTATCTTATATGTAACAGAGAAAATTAAATTACGTCGTGTATATATGTAAATATAAAATATTCTATACTTCCCCTAGAATGTTATAGTTACATTTAGTTCTAATTCCGACCACTATGGATATTGTAATCTTATTCTATGCTGCATCGGTAAAGATGGAAACACCAGTAAGACACCTAGATCATATACTAAAATTACATTGAATGTTAGATCTAGTTTACGCCTCTTCTATGCCTAAAAGATATCTAAATTTATATCCATTGTAGAAAACTTCCAGGGGATAAATTCTATGTGATTACATAGGGATATAATATACAGTGAGTAGCTAAAAATAAGTGGCTATTTTAAACAGATTTTTATTTTGTTTCTATTTCTATTGAGTTTTATAGTCCGAATAAACTACGGTAGCAAGAAATATCAAATTAACAAATGTTTTAGTTCATTAGTGAATCCTTTGTTACTTTAGTATCCCTATAGATTTCACTATTTTTTATTTACAGATCACTATCAAGAACCAAGAAATTTTACATATACTCCATGGATAGCTATTTGCCTTGTATACTTACTGGTTTCATATTTTATGCCTTTGGCTTAAAATGGTGTTACGAATATGCCAAGTATTGGGTATCTTTGAGACCTAGAGATGATTCGCATGCCACAAAAGGACTCAGATTTATAGAGAAATGTGAAAGACTTATAAACAGACATCCTATAGAAGGAAGCTTGAAGCTGATAGCAACTGCTGTAGGGTTAGCTGGTACAATAACCGGTGGTTTACAACAAGTTGGAACTGTTTCTCCAAAAGTGGTACTCGCTACTATCTATTTGTTTTTTGCATTTTCTGGTCTAGTTGATGTTTTGAACTTTTATTTTCCTCATAATGTAAGCGAAGGATTGGTGAAACTGGCACTTGCTCAAAGCTTTTTCATAGAAGGATTTCTTTTCTTATGGGGAAGTGTTGGAAGTAATGCGTTAGTTGATAAAATCTTAGCTCTCATAGTATGGACAACAGCTTTGGCTATTACTTTAGAACTTGTCTGGCCCGAATTAAAACTTTTAAGAGCTTGTACAACGTTGCTTCATGGTGGTTGGATAGCACATGTTGTTCGTGTATACCATTCGGTACCAATGTTGCCAGAAGGTATTGCACTGATATTTTCTTGGCATGTAGCTGCTGCTTCAGCAGTAACATTATGTGTAGTAGCAGCGACGAGAAGTTGTGCTCCTAAACTGATAATGGAAGAACCACCAGAGATTCCTATTTATGACTATTGTCAAGAACCAGATCAAAGAATGTAGGTCACCGAAGTGAAAGCAATATAATTTTGTGCCAATATAAAATTTTAGCAATATGCACAAAAGTAATATTTTTAGAGTAGTATATTATTAGTACTGTAGTGCCAAAAAATCAAACAACATAAACTAATTACAATTTTTACACACAGTATTAATATTTTTTTACTTAATATTTATAACTTCATTTTTATAATACAACGAATGACTCTATTTTTAACTATACTTCTATACATGCGATAACATAAACAATTTTGTAAGACCCACAAATTGTAGGTAAAATACTCATTAGGAATTAAGAGGTGCCTTATTATTATTGCTCACTTATTTATTAATAGGAAAATGCGTAATTTCACATTTTGTAATATGTTTTTTCCTCCATAATCACACTGTATGTGCCAAAACAACTACTAATTATATATTGTAAATAAGTCATTTTATTAAACTTTACATAATCAATAAATTGTCGTAATTTATTCAAAATTCATTAATCACGTAATTGAAAAACCTTCCTTCTTTATAAATATGTTTTAATAACATTCTTCAACGGTAATTTTAATCTTCAATATACACTATATGATTCAGTTTATAAAACATGTTTATACGTTACCAAATTTATTATTAATGACAAATTAATATTGTTAATAACGAATTGTTAACAACGTAAATTTATAATAAAAATGAGAAAATTAATAAATTTCCAGATAATACTCGAACTTACATCGTATACATGTGCCAAAATATGCTTATAATTTACAAAATGTTTATAAATTATTACACTGACTGTTAATAATAAATTAATATTGTTACTAACAAATTGTTCACAACGTGTATTTATAATAAAAGTGAAAAAATTAATAAATTATCGTTTATTAAAGCGAAAGAATAATAAATAATGGAATCGGTAAAGGTCGAAAATTTTCAATCGGGGTGGAGGACTCGACCGATCGACGGCTATATGAGGAGCGACGCAACGCAGCAAAATTGTTCTGTCGGTTCGACTTCGGAAGTGTAACATCTAAATTTTCGTTGTGCGCGAGGGGCGGGAGGTCGAAGTGAGGTTGGGGGTTGACTACCCCATCCTCACCCCACCCCATTAAACAATTTAATTATTTTCTTTTTGTTTTCAGATATTAATTATATTTTCTTTTTCCAGGTTTTACTTTTCTTTTCTTTTGGTTATTTATATCTCATCGTTGGGTTCTTTATGTCTCATCGTTGGTTTCATTATGTCTCATCGTTGGGTTGTTCCTTACATTTGGTTTACCTTCATGGTTCATACTCGTTTCGCTTTTATGCTATTTCCTTGTACTAATCCGTTTCATTTCAGGTTTATATATTTTCCTTTTAGGTTTTCAAGTTTTTCAAGATTTTTCAAGATTTCATTCGGAAGACGTCGTTGAACGACGCGGGATGCGTGCGTTTAGACCTAAGTAGACCTAAGCAGACTTAAGATAGATCCCTAGACTAAGTATCATCATGTGCGCGCTATCGGTACAAAGGTAAGCTACCTAACATGGAGCAAATATATAGATTTCATATTTTTCCAACATTGTCCCTCTCGTTTACCAAACAGAACATGATTGTTCTCGCGATAATCGCGATCGTTCTTAAGTACGACTAGCTTCCGCGACGTACTCTCGTGTACTCGATAATTCCATGTTTCGTAAGTCATCCAAACGATTCGTTCCGACCCTCACCCTCGCCACTGCCGCCTTTGTCGCGCATCGGTTCTAGGGTGGTCGGCGGGCTGGCACTCATCTGGAATCAATACGAGGGTCTGTCGGCCTTAGTCGTCCTGGACACCAGTGCGTGCACGACCGGGGTATGGGCCCTGTAGCCGTGACATTGCACATGAGCCTGCAGTCAGACCCCATGGGATGATTAATTTCTCCCCCATGTGCCAGGGGCCTGCGTGACCGGCTACAGAGCCTCGCTAGGGGCCCTCGGGTTGATTTTGGATGTTTCGCTGGTTCATCGATCGCTTTCGTTCGCGAGTAAGTCATGGCAGGGTCTGTGGTCACTGGGTGCGCTAGGTTCGGTCGGGAGGGTACCGAGGCATGACGTTGTCTTGCACGCGAGAGTACGTCTCGTAGGCTAGTCGGTCTTTCGAATAATCGCGAACTCGTTCGGGCGCGTCGCGATTTTCTATTAGCTCGCGTGTTTGATATTTCATTCCCTATTTTTATGGGAACTTGAAAATGTCTTAGCGTTGCGACAGCAGAATTATAGTATACCGAATCGAATTCCCTTTGAAGGACACGAAATTTTATAAAGTGTCATTAGAGTCACTTTAATTTAATTCGCTCCAAGTTAGATTAGAGTATCTCTGATAAAGATAGCGCCAGCAGGCTGCGCCACTAGGGCGCATGTCGGGTCTCGATACGTAGCCACCTCCACGTGGTGAGACCTGGTAATTGGTATCGTTTTCCTTTGGGAAACGATGTCAAGCTAAGAGCTACGCACAAAGTATAACATATGTCCTATTTCCTGTGAATTTTCAATGTTCCATTTGAACTTTGAAGGCAAAGAGCAGGCGAAATTTGCATGACAGATACTTTGACAGTACGAAATTAACAAATTACTCAATTTCTACGATTAATTTATGAACTTTTATAGCTGGATAGCAAAGCTGGGTCTTTGGACAACATTCTCATGCAATTTTTGCATATAATTTGATGCTAACCAATTTATTATTATTAATTACTTGTCGGCGTCCGGGATTACACAACAACGGTCGGCGCGATTGTCCATCAAAATAAATAATTGTGAACAAAGCTAGTAGTAAAGTACGAACAAAAATGATATGTGAATATTCCCAAGGATTTTTTTTCTATAATGTCCACGTATAATTTGTAAATTAATTGCATAGAAGATTGTAATTAATGGAAAACCAATAGTATTATCGACATGAGATGGAACACTCTGGGAAATAAATGCACGTAACTAATTAATTTAGAAGAAATGAATGTTAGAAATTATATTAGAATGTTCGTAAAGTACGCACCTTTACGATATAGGTATAAAAGTTGATAAATTAATCGCAAAAATTGTGTAATTTGTTAATTTTCTAATGTCGTATGAAAATTTAGGAAACAGCGGTAGGTGCTATCTATAATTTTACACTGGAAGCTTGTGTTCCAGTGAAAAATCATAGTTGGGGTTAACGGTGCACAAGCTACGAGTGTAAAGTCATAGATCGCACTTATCGCAGTTTCCCAAATTTTTATTCGGCATTAAAGAATTACCAAATTACACAATTTCTGCGATTAATTTCTGAACTTTTGTACTTGCGTCGTAAAGGCACGTCCTTTGCAAACTTTTTGATATAATTTTCTATATTAATTTCTTCCTATTTAATTAATTACAAGTAATTATTCTCCGAATGTTAGAACTGAGTCGAAGATATTATTGGTTTTTCATTAATTACTATCTTCTATGCAATTAATTTATAAATTACATGCGCACGTTGTATAAACAACATCCTTGGGAATATTCTCATATGATTTTTGTTCGTATTTTACTTCTAGTTTTGTTCATAATTAATTATTTTCATGGAGAATCGTGCCGATCGTTGTTGTGAAATCGCGGACACCATCAAGTAATTATTAATAACAAACTAAATACAATGAAATTATGTGCAAAAATTGCATAAGAATGTTGCCCAAAGATCCAGCTGTCTGATCCAATTATAAAAGTTCATAAATTAATCGCAGAAATCGAGTAATTTGTCAATTTTCCAATTGCCGAAGCATCCATCCTTTTCTAGTCGCTTGCTGTCCTTGTCACAAGGACAATACTTTTACAGCCTATATGGACAATACTTTTGCCGCCTATATGGTCAATACTTTTGCCGCCCCCGGACAATACTTTTGCCGCTTCTGGACAATACTTTTGCCGCCTCCGGACAAAACTTTTGCCGTTTCTGGACAATACTTTTGCCGCCCCTGGACAAAACTTTTGCCGTTTCTGGACAATACTTTTGCCGCTTCGGTAGACAATACCTTTGCAGCTCGGCCGTTAAATTTTCGACCGATTTCGCGACTTTGTATTAGGATAACATGACATGACAGGAGGTCGCTCGACGAGACAGTTCCAAGAAATGACGTCATTTCCAAGAATTCTCAGGCAACGCTTCTGTAACCTGGTCGTAAAATTTTCGGGCGATTTCGCGATTTTGTATCAGGATAACATAACATGACAGGAGGTAGTCGACGAGACAATTCCAAGAAATGACGTCATTTCCTAGAATTCTCGAGCGATACTTTTGCAGTCTCGGCGAGAATTTTTCGACCGATTTTGCGACTTTACACTAGGATAATATAACATGATAGGAGGTCGCTCGTCGAGACAGTTCCAAGAAATGACGTCATTTCCTAGAATTCTCGAGCGATACTTTTGCAGTTTCAGCGAGATATTTTTGGCCGATTTTACGATGTTTTATTAGGATAACATAACATGAAAGGAGGTCGCTCGTCGAGTCATTTCCAAGAATTCTCTGGACAAAATTTTTGCAGTTTCAGCGAGAAATTTTTAGCCGATTTTGCGATTTTGTATTAGGATAACATGACATGCAAGGAGGTCGTTCGTCGAGTCATTTCCAAGAATTGACGTCATTTCCAAGAATTCTCCGGAAAAACTTTTACAGTTTCGGCGAGAAATTTTTGGCCGATTTTGCGATTTTGTATTAGGATAACATGACATGCAAGGAGGTCGCTCGTCGAGTCATTCTCAAGAATTCTCTGTACAATACTTTTGCAGCACGGCGAGAAATTTTCAGCCGATTTTGTCTCTTTGTATTAAGGTAACATAACATGATAGGAGGTTGCTCGCCGACCTATTCCATGATTTTACATCATCTCCAACAATTCCCTGGACAAACTTTTTCCACTTTGCAGTACATTTTAATAATTTTACTTACCTTATACTTACCTTATACTTACCTTGCTTACCTTCCCTTACTTGGATTCCTTTTCTTACTTACAAGGAGTGTGCAAGTCCTTCGGGTCACCGATTTAGTTGAAATTTTGTAGCTTTGTAGATATCGTCATGCGGTTTAAGAAAATATATTATTATAGCCGCAATTACTAAACAGTTTTTA